TGGATCTACATATACAGAAGCCGTTATTTAGTTAAAATATCTTCAGATGTTGGATCTACGTGTACAGATGCTGTTATTAAGTTAAAATATCTTCAGATGTTGGATCTACGTGTACAGATGCTGTTATTAAGTTAAAATTTATCTGCGGCTAGATTATGATGCAGAGAAGAATGCATTTGTTTAAAAAGCCTGCATGTAAGCAAAGAATCAAAATATTTTTAACTGTTAGAAAAGATATTGGTGCTGGATGTATTTTTCCATCACTGGATATTTTGGCTATTCAAATGTCAATAGCCAATTTGTGTACCAACAAGTATTAGGCTATCTTTTATTATGATGTTATTCATTTGGTGCTTTATCTGGAGTAAAGAGTTTATCTTCCTGATAGAAGTGCTATATATTTGACTGTTTCATATTTTGAAATTCCACATTTACTTATTCTAAAGTTGTCTTGATGTCCGTTTATGAGCATTTTGTAACGTGTATATGCTTTAAGAACAATTAAATTATTCTACTTCTGTGTAATAGCATTTTGAAATAAATATTAGAAAATACAATACATCAATTGTTTTTTATAATTATTTTAATTTTAGGTACCGTTTGTGTCCTGGTCAGCTTTCCGTTTTTGTTTTCCAAATGCTTTGGTTGTTCCGATGCACACGAAGGTGCTCAGCTAGTTTATTATGCAGCTTTTATAATCATCTTCCAGTTTGGCTGGGCTTCTGTTCAAATCTCTCACCTCTCCCTAATTACTGATCTTACTCCAGTTTCTTCTGAACGAGTGGAACTGAATTCTTTAAGGTAAAGTCACTTCTTATTGAATAATTAATGCACTCTTTGTGTACTTATATGTGTGTGTAACATCTGATTCTTTACTGTTCAAAAAAATCTTACCACTGAAGAGTAGCCATTGAAGGCTGCTTTCCATACAGTAAATTAATTTTACTTAAAGAAAGCTCTAAGGATTTAAATTATTATCATGTATAATAACTATAAAATTTAAATTTTTTATTTCATTTCATATATGTGATATTTATAGGGTACGTAAAATATTTCAATAAATCTTTGTACACTTTATTTTCTCCATATATGGAGTTATTAACTAAGTATATTGTAAGTATACGTATACTGTAACTGTATTTATCATAATTTTGACATTATTGAACTTTCTTTAAAAAATCTCTGATTAATTTGTGACTGTTATCAGATTAGCATAGTGTTATCAAAAATTTTTTTTAATGTTAAATACAGTGAAATGTTTCTATGTTGTATACAGTGAAATGTTTCTATGTTGTATACAGTGAAATGTTTCTATGTTGTATACAGTGAAATGTTTCTATGTT